ACCGCTCTTTTTATTTGTTAACACATTATTTCAAAACAAAGTAAACATTACTTTCTAAAAACATATTTGTTGTCATATAACATTAGGTAAAAAAATAGGCAACATTTTAATTACAAAATCTCACAAGGTAATCAGATGCTAATGTGCTGTCCAGTATGCCTAAGTATGTACAACTGTACCTACTTAGAGTGTACTGTACAATGTACAATGCCCCCACCCAATGGTAATTTTATAGCTTCCTGTTGGCTCTGATGCAAAGTGAGGAAATAAATTGGAATTAACAGTTTCCTTGGTAACTTTCCCAGCTGGAAAGCAGTGACTTCAATTATAGATAAAATGACACTACAACTAAAGTACAGCAGTAGATCTCAGCACTACTATCGTAACAAAAAATTTCCATGCAGGAAAGTATTTTCCATGCAGTAGAAGTTTCGATGTAATACCATGGTTTGGGATCTAAACAACTAATTTACACAGTTTTAATACTGTTATTTTTAGGCCTTTTTAACTTCCTTAGGCTTGTGTCGTACTTCGGCTTTTTAAAGATTTTTTTGTTAAAAAGTTTATGTTCTATCACACACACCTCGTCATGGATGTAAGAGGGCTCTATCCTCAGAAGAAAGGAGAATAACCCTAGTACAAAGTGGTAACTCTGGGGAAAGTCTGCCTCTCTGTAATGAGCCAGATGACGACACAATCTGAAAAGAAAAGGAAAAAAAAGAAAACTCCAAATTACATGTATATTTGGTTACTATTTAGCTAGCATTTATATACTTAATTGTAACTAGAGGAAAAGTCTACATTTTTCCAGCAGTCTAAATCACAATTCTGGTCTACAATGTTGATTCTTTGAAGGGATCCACTCCTGCAAAACCACGAAGCAGATGAGTGGACCAAGACATCTTCAGAGATGGTGCAGACACAGTAAGAAGGAAAAGCCTGTATAGCTTCCTGCACTATGGATCAGGATCATATTAAACCCGGCAAAGAGTAAGTCCTTTGCCTTTCATGACTGAACCAATGTTCATTCTGCCAGCTTTTAGCAAATGTAGCTAAGAACTCGAACAGCTACTCTAACCTATTTTTATATTTCTAATACTATCCAAAGCAGACACTCCAGGCTTTTTTCTTTATTCTTTGCCCACATTCTCCATAGGGTCCTCTCTCCTCTTCCTGACACTATGCCATGGGATTATAACCCATCTGTTTCTCATCCATTGCCTTTGTGTGCTAGATATAAACTACCTGTCTAGAAACAAGAGAGAAAAGCTAAGTTCAAGTTAACAGAGTAATAAAGGAAACATTGGGGCAAACAGCAACCAATTATGTAACTTATGTTGGAAAAATAACTTGTTCTGGGTTAACCTGAAATTTGTTTTTCTTAAAAGTGGTAATTTTAAAATAGTATAAAATCCAGCTGTTTCAATTTAAAAAAAAAAAGAAAACAAACCCTTTTACACTGATATGGAGAACCAAGACCTATTCACCATGTAAGTCCTATACATCTTCTGCCTTACTAGGTATTGCCCTGGGATGCTGAGTTTAAAACTTCCCCTCTGTCTGATTCAGAGCAGTGGTCTTAAATATTGACCAGGAGGACTGGAATCTGTCTGTCCCAGTCTATGGGCAAGCATGCTGATTACTAGACTATAGAGTCATTTGCTTGCTCCCTCTGGTCCAACAAACATCTACATTTTCCCCTCAAACTGGAGGCACTGATGGACCCATCCTGCAGTGCCACGCAAACCACACTTCAGTGAGCAGAGTTTTTGCTTAAAGCCTCCCAAAGTCTGGGAGACTGGAGATCTGAAACTAGACCTCTTGCGCCATATGTCGTATCCTCTGCCCTACCTCATGTTCCCCAAAAGCTGCCAGAGACTTCTTACAAAAACGAAATAGAATCAGACATTTCAGCAGCATCAGAATGAACTAGCTGACTCCACAACGCAGTGCGTTGGCGGAATTCAAACATCACTGAGAAACATTGGTTGAACCAAATCTGCATTTTTTTGGCTAATATGAATTAAGACATTTTTCTACATCCTAGTCAACCTGAGATTCAGCAATTACAGCTCTTATGGCAATTTAGGTGTCAAATGTCAGTTTTCATTGGTGGGTCAGGGGAGTGACACTGCATATTCTGAGGCAAATGCATAATTGCATCAGTACTGTATTTGATTAACTGGAGTTAGGCTTTTCACAAGAGTACCTAAACACAGACACATTTTTGCCCCATTTGTATTACTTTTGTCACATTTACCCTAACAGCATCTCTGAAGAGCTAAAAGAATCCCAGATGATTTTAAGTTTAGATACAATAAGGGATATCAATTTTTATCAACATTTTTCACACATTGTAGTATATAGAATCATCAGATCATTTAGGCTGAAAAAGAACTTTGAGATCATTGAGTCCAACCACAAAACTCTCATTACTTAAAGATTTCTGTATCAAATCAATTCAGAATCCAGTTTAATACAGCAAGTTTTAAAATAACAGAAAATGTAAAAGCATTTCAGCAACCATTTGACTGATCTCGGCTCTGCTCACGCTGAAATCATATTCTAGTCCTAGGACTAAGGCATTTCAGGAGTCCCTGTTGGACCATACTGATTTTTAGAGGCAGAGAATTTCTCAGTTTGTTTTTTAGCTCTACTATGAATACACACACTTGCACAGGATAAACCCTCATATCTGAAGGAGTAGATGATGTTTTCCAAAGTTAAGTAAGTGTCAGATGTATAATTAACTACTGGCATTGCAAATGATATAATGGGAAATTTAACCGGTAAGAATTTAAATTCAAATCTTGTTTCATGAACAAGACAGCTTGCCATTAACATTTTAATATATTACATATGAAAATGTAGGTTTAAAATCAGACTTTGCATGAAAGATTATTCACACAAACATACACTGAAATATCCACTCATTCAGTGCATACACAAGATTTACGCAAATTTGTGGTAAAAGGATTATTACCTCTCCTCCTTTTAAAGAAAAAAAAAGCCTCTTATTCATAAAAAAGAATGAATCCATACAACCAAAGCTCTTGTAATATAACACTGTGTTTGCATTATTCCAACCCATTTCTGTCACGGTGGATTCATGAAAGGTAATGTGAAAAGGAAAACAAAGATAAGCAAATAAATCCACCAAAAGACAGAAAAGACTGCATACACGTAAAAGCCACTTATTTTCAAGGGCAATATTTAATGTCTTAAAAATAAGGAATGTGTCACTTAGACTCTGTAGGGGCTACTGCTCTCTTAGGCATGCCATTTAGAAGTATATACCAAATAAAGATTTAAGATGTTTTTCCATGTACTAATGAAAAATCATTTTGCATTAATGCAGCTCGACCTCCTTTCCACAGAACACCCTCCAACAGCACACATTAGAAATTCAGTAGAATCCAAGCCTCCTGCAAAATTCATCTTTTTATATAAGTATATATAAAATATATAAGTACACCTTATATATAAGTATAACTCCCCTTCTGGATCAGTATTTCATGATACAACCAATGGCAGAACTGAAATATAGCATATGATCCAATACCCAGGAAATTTATGGGAAATGCTATTTTAGTTATTTCCTATTCTGTGGAGTAAATGCTGCCAAACTGCTACACTCCTTCATCAGGGCTTTTGCTCTCTGTCTTTGGCCATGGCCTTCTGCCAGCACCCACCAAGTAGCAAACTCACCAATCTTTGGAGAATGTGATACAAGGGGAGAACATATTAAAGGAAGAGTAAGAAGTTCGATGTACACCGGCAAGTACTTAAGTATATAACTCTGTACAAAGGCTGGATTAGCTGAGCTATCATTCTCTTTGCTACTTAAGTTGTTTAATGAAAATAATTTTACTAACAAATAGCATGACTGTTTGGATATACTCTTAACTGAAAAAAAAAGAATTCCCTTTCACTTGTGAAGGCAAGACTTGGCAACAGTTCTCTAGTAAAGACAGACATTGAAGTTCCTCAATAGCACAAAATGCTTTCTTTTCTCACATTTCTTTACTTACTTTTCCAGTAAAAGAAATTTCTTCTTTCACTTTTCTGGTTGCAAAAAATATGACTGTTGATTGTGTGAAGTGTGTTGATACACTTAATGAAATAACGGTAAAGATCTTTTCACTAGTAATTGGGGTTTTAAAAACATGTTCTGAAGGCATTAATGGCCTGCTTATTTGAATTCTGACTGCTAATTTTAATTTCGATTAATGCCAACACAAAAGTAGTATGGTGATTTAGAAAATTTATTTCCTATGTGTTTTTGGGCCAGGGGAGAGAGGAATTGAACTGTTTTCCCATTCTCTGGAGAGCTGTGGTGCAAGTTTTTTCTAAAATACCGTGAAGAAGGAAGTAAAGTGAGTATTTGTATCTAGCTGCTACTCTTGCTATGTGACTCTAGTTGATTTGTCTCCTCTCTTCTCAGAAGCTCACTTTGATCACTCTTTGTATTACAATTTGTCTACTCCCAATCCGAGATGAACTATTCTGCACACACCCCTTTCTAGAAATGATTTTAACCATGTGAATACATAGCTGTGTACACACCCCATATTTGTAATTTGTTTATATATATATGGCACTTTACTTTCAGAAGAACTTTCCAAAACATGTTAAACAAAACTTTGAGTACTTACCTCTCATTACATAGTTTATCTGTGCACAGCCAATACTCAGGGTTCATGGCTGTAAGCAAACCACATTTTTCTTGCAAAATTCCCTTCAGGCTATGTCCGTGAAAACAACTCCCATCTGTGTTTGCTTCAGACCAACTTAACTGAAAACTTGAAGGATTTGGCTTCTCAGCAGGTCGCACTGAACCAGACAGCTTGCCAAACTGATTTTGTAAGTTCACAACCATTTCTGTACAAATAGAAACAAACAAACAAACACCCCAAAAAACAAGGCAGAAGTATTAAATATTAGAATACTGTTTAAAGGTGATGAATACAGGAATAAAATAGTATTTATGCCATTTATTATTCTTTTTCTGTTTTTCTTTTTTGCCAAAACTCAGTGTGCAATATTGAGAAACCTTGAAGGACTGTTCTCTCCCACATACCCTTTAAGATTTCACTCTATCACAGATTTTAGAGAAAGATTTTGAAAGATAATGCAAAATGCCATGCCTTTCATACGTAATGCTATTAATACTGGGACACTCCAAAAGCATTCCCCCAAGTAAAACCTGTAAAATCCATCTGATACAGCTGGCATTTTTATGCTGATGGAAACCAGCAAGCCTTTTGCTATATTTACCTGCATGCATGCTATCTCTCACACTGGCTAAGATTTTTTGAGTAGTTTCCTGTGTATCAGAATTGAGGAAGCCTGGTTTCACACACATACAGATTTAAGGTTAAGCTTTTCACAGTGAAACTTTCAGCTGGGGAAAAACAGCCAAAAAAACCCACTCCACCTTTTCCCAGTGCTACTGAAAGAAGGACAAACTTTCCTCAGTTACTGAGGCTGAGAAGGGAAAGAAGGTATGAGAGGTTAGTGCACATATTATCATTGCCTAAGCCTTGCTTCCCTGGGTTAAAAGCCACCGTTGTTGGAGCTTCAACTTTTTTATGACCCGTATCTGAATAAACTGATTCATAAACTGGAAAAAAAAAAAGCAGAAAAGACATCTTAAAGTAATCCAAGAACTGTGAAGCTTATCTTTCAACTGGAAAAAAAATCTACCATCAAAAAACAAAGACTGTATCTGGTACATAAGGGTTCTAGAGCACCCTCGGTCTCTACTCTATTGCATTTGTTTTAAGATGAATCTTGCCCAATTACAAAGGTATTACGTGATATTCCTGCTCGCAACAGCCAGTGGCAAAGCTCCATAATCTAAGCGGTCCTCTTCTAGCTCGAGGAGGAGCAGAGCCCAAAGAGGAAACCAGAGTGCCACAGAAATTATCAACAATCGATAATTATTCACATGAGTTAATATAATAACATGAGTTATTCAAACCAAGTAGGATTATACAACTTGTTTAGAAATCCCTGAACCAGTCACCTCCAGAAACTGGAAGAGTATATACAAAGGGAAAAACATCACTTGCTACACTTAGCATCTAAGCAAAAATCTGTTGCTTACTAGATACTATTAAATGTAGAAGAACTACATTTGTAGTATTAAATCTGTAGTATTAAATGTAGAAGAACTTCAGATCTAATTTGTTTGAATAAAATTCTGGTATTCTTTATTTCCACAGATAAATGAGGGATTTGTTGTTTTGTTTGTTTGCTTTTATGTCAATATAAAACCCAGTAATTTCTTAAAAGTTTTCTAGAGCTACTAAAATAAAGTATATGCATCTGCATTCTGACCACATAAGGCTAGCTAGTCAAGTGAAGTCACGTTCACACAAGACTGCCTCAGTTCCTATAGAAGACTGCAAGAAGGAGTAGGAGAAGGACATGCAAGGTCTACCAAAGGGTATAGTGTGCTATCCATACCAAAGGATATCAGAATGGAGAGAAGGGACAGGAAAACTATGGAAGACCAACAATGATTCACAAAGATGAGAGTTACATAAAGGCAGCTGACAAACCAGTGAAGGTGAGGACAGAGTAGTCATTCTGAGATGTGGTTCAGTAGGTCATTAGGAAGACTGGTAAAGGCAGTTTCAGTTAAGCATGAGGATAATGTCTGTTTTGAAGAATTCCAGCCACAGGTTATAAAATAGTACTACATTAATTGTACCAAGAGATGAAAGAAAGGAGAGAAAGTGTTTTAAGATGCAAATGTTATCACAGTCAGGGCTGCAAATTTTCTATGATGGGAAAAGTTGGAGCGGATTTCTGCATTGCTCCAAAGAAGCAAAGTTTACTCACGTCTTCTCTTAAGAACTTTAGATTTCTTTTTGGCTGAATAAAACAGTGGTTTTTCACATCTCCACAGATACCTACCAATAAGAGACATAAGAACTGTTAAGAAAAAGAAATCCATAGCAAACAAGTAAAAGAATAGTAATTTCTTACAAGTACTGATAGAGCTATTAAATTAAAAATCAGAAAAATCTAATGATTAATGCTATGAAAAGCCACTGCCCCCCAACCCATCTAGAAAGTCTTTTTTCAGAGTAGGCAAACTGAGGCATGTAAGCTGAGACTTACTGTAATCAGTTAATTGTTCAGCTGTATAAGCTATTTGTCACAGAAAGTGAGCATTTAATTAATATGCTGGATAAATAATACAAGCGTAAATAGAAAATTAAGATAGGGATTTAATCTATTCACCCAAGCTTTATGAATGGAAACACGGAGCAAATTCCTTACCTTTTTAATTTGGGGGGGAGGGAGGGAAGAGTGTGTGTCTGTCAGGATTTCAACTTAAAAATGTCTATCTTAAAGAAGAAAAAGTACTTAAACTCTTACTTGGCTCTGTCTTCATCCAATTTCTTTTGCTCCACATCCAAGGAACATTTTATCACCTTGTACCACTTTTTGAACTCAAAATATGGACCACCTGAATAAAACATACACATTTTAGGTTGACAAGAAGCAAAAGAGATGTGTAGTACAGAGAAGATGGTCTCCACGCAGTTAGACTATGTCTTCCACATGTCTACAATCCTATCCTGAATCCTATGTGCTTAAAGAAAACACAAATTGATCTAATTCAATCTGTAAGATCAAAAAGAAATGCAGTGAAAGAACAGCATTTCATAAGAAGTTCAGAAAAGCCCCTTAGCTTAGAATAGATTTACCACAATTCAAACCTTTTCCCTCCTTTCTGATAGTCAAGCCTAGAAACCATCTCCTCTCCACCAAACAAACTAGATCTCAACGGTGTGATGTGGCCTTCGTCTGTGTGAAAGTTGACTACAAAGGATTAATGAAACTATTCATCAAGCTCAGGTTTAAACAGGTAAGATCTAAACAAGCTCAGATGTAAAATTTCAGTTTCATCAACTCCCCACTGTCTGTCCTACTACCCATGAAACCTTACAGGGCTGGAAAGCAAACTAGACAATTGTATTTGCTCCGTATCATCATCCTTGCATGGTTTTGAGCACAGGAACTTCACTTCTTGACATGAGAATAAGTATTTACCAGCACATGCAAAACGACTGAGGCATAGCCATAGCATTTTAGCAGCACTTTTAGCATCATCAATGCTGCAAAGTGGCACAGGACTGAAGCAGACCAAGTGGGTACAGTAAGTTAAGAATTCCAAATACAACTATGGTGTAGATCCATATATTTAAAATATAATCAACTCTTATTACCCCTGGGTGGATTATCTGCATTGTGAATTAACCAGGCTTTGCATTTCCCCATCACCCCAGCTGCACTGCATGCGATGCTTGCATCATGCTTAGCTTTGCCAGCTAGCCATTTAAACTGCTCTGAAGGTGAATATATTGTTCTTATAATCAAGTTTATATATCTCTTCTATTATCTGCATTTTTGCTATTCGGATTATTATCATGCCACAGGATATCTTGGATTCTAGCAATATGGTTGGACTCAAAAAGCAACACACAAATGAAGGGAAAAAAGACTCTTCAGTAGTTCCTAAAATTCAAAGGTGTTGATACAACTTATTTTATGAACTCCTTAAACCCAGAGGTTTAAGTACTCCTAAACTTCTGGGAGGGCAGTTGTGTGTGTATTTTTATTAAACTTCATGTGAATTATTAAGCACTTGTCACAAGCAAAGCGATTGTCAGACATGATGCTACACTGTAATAACCACTTATCTTGCCAGTACTGCCAGTCTGGTGTTCAAATAGCTGAGCTGACAGGAAAACACACAGCTCTGTGATGCACACACATGTATATACATCTCAATCTTGTGCTTTATTTGAACGTGAACTGTGCTGTGTATGTTCATAGAACATGCACACAAACACACTAGGTAATTAAAATTAGCTTCCAGCCCATCTTGAAAAACTGAAATACTACTTTTTTAATTAAAAAAAAAAAAAAGACAAGAGAAAGGATAGTTAAATTGAGAGTGGAGTCAACGTAAATTGGACCTTTAAAACTCAGTATTAACAATTATTCATTTCAGCACACTAACTTTGGGAAAATGCCAGAGGCACTTTTGAGCTCTGCCATTAATCAGTGCTCTAACAGAAATTTTCACATCAGCTCCTCTGCACAGCTGCTCACCATCACCCCAACATTTTAAGGACAGGGACAACATAACAGAGCATAGGGATCGTTTTGCACCGGCAGATTTGAAGGTAAACAAGTGGGCAAAGAATGAGCTGTTAATTCCCAAGGGCAATGAGACTTGTTAATAAGGGAGAAAGCCCATTAAGACATTAATGGATTTGAGCCTCGGCTTGTAAGCAGTTGCACAACTTCTACTCTTGTCACTATTAAGTACTTCAAGTTTTCAAGGGAAATGAGAAGGGAAAAAAAATAAAGAAAAAAGTTTGTGGATCCACTTGTAAATGAGAATTACGAGTTTTAGTTAACAGTGACTACTATCTCTAAATACAGCAGTAATTGTGTTCATGAATGGCTAACACTGATTTTAAACTGACTTAAGTTTGTAAAAATTAACAGAAGGGTCAAAACACACCCAAAACTCAACGGAAGGCTTAAAAGACAATCCGCTGTAACATACTTGATCTTCTCTCCAGCTGTGATCTGGATCAGGCCACAGAACACCTTCCTGAAGATTTCTAATCTTTGATTTGGTCTTTCTGCCCTCAACGAACCATGTTCACACCATTATCTTCTCTATCTTAATTGCTGCTAGCTTTTCCACACTCTCTCAGGATTATTTGGACTAAGAAAATAGATTACATCTGAAATGTTACACACACAGACATTTTATTTAACAAGACTAAACAAGTTTGGATTTTATCATAAATGCGGTTTGATGCCCCTAATAAGGATGTGCTATTTACGATGAAAGTGCATTCCCTCTTTACTGTGTATCCATTCATCTGCACCTTGCACGCAGAAAATTCTAAACCAAGAGTCAAACGCGCGCAAGGAGAAGCGGAAAGGTACCCAGCAAAATGTGTGTACCCAGCAAATTCCCCTCTCCAGTACAGTAAGATTATGCAGGTAAACCAGGACGATTTTACGTGAACAGGATCTACCGTTTTCACCAAATGAAGATTTGCCTTAAAAGAATAAATAACCAAAACACCTCTTAATGATCAGCAAAGACAAGTGTTTCCAAGCCTGATGAGAACGTTATTTCATTTACAAAATCATGACTGCTTCTACTAGAATATGTATGTACCTTCTTTGTTATTTTTATTTCTTTCTTTGGCAAAGTCTGAAAGGAACCTGAAAAAAAAAGAATTTAAAGAACAGGCCATCTTGTAGAGCCAAATACTGCATTTTTCACATGAAATTCAAATATAATCAACAAAATTACATCCTAATTTTACTGTAAGATTCAGATTTAAACTGATGATTTCTAAAAATAAGTAATATTTAATGTGTAAAATGCCTCTAAGTGTATGTTTTAGGCTACCAAACATAATCAAAATTCAAATAGTATAAATTTAATATTACTAAAGAAAGAATTCAAGAAATCATTTGCATTATTTGAAATCTGGGCTTTGCTACAGATTTACCTGCACACTTACCATTCATAGTGATCATCTAATAAAAACAGTAATTTGAGCACAACTACAATAACTGCTGCAGCAAGAACATCATATTTCACTTTTCTTGTCGACTTATTCCCAGGCACAAGAGTCAGGAAATCTGCTTCTCCAATGCAGATCTTTTTCACCACTCGACAAGTCCAATTATGCAACTCATCTGATTATTAATGTAAATAAAAAGATAAAATGAGTATGTTGAGACAAGCTGGAAGTGCTTTAATAGTCAAAATATGTTGGTTATTCGAGGAAAACATTGCTTAGGTCTTTTAGGACCATTAGGCAGTTACTATTTTCAGGCTGAGAAGTATTTTGGTGTATTTTTAAAAATACTGAGCAATCTTCACTGTGCTTACATGGAAAATAGTCTTGACTTATTATATAGTCCTATGGAAAGAAAAAAAAAAAAATCACATTTTTAATAGTGTTTTGATGCTACTCAAATGATGTTGCTGGCTCATTCTGAACATTGTTGTGGGAAAGCCTATCTTAAATCTATGTAAATAGAGCTCCAAAAAACCTCAAAAGCCAAAAACTTATCACAAGCTTTTTTCCTTCACATTGACTAAATGCCCATGCAAGGACAGGTTCAGTGCTGCAAAGGGGAAGAGGGGCTAGTTTTAAAGAAGCTTGTTGCATACGAACGGCGAGCTAATCATGGCAGGGCAGTGCTTGCTGCTACCCTGACCAAGCCCAGCTGAGGCAAAGACAAGCCCAGCCTATGCTGAAACTGACTTTACCCTGCAAGGCCTAATTGCACCCGCTAGCACAGGTTAGGTCAAAAAAATACAACTACAGCTCCAAAAGCAGCAGTATGATACCCATACAGTCTCTTATTACTCTACGCTTATATTTCACAGATGCAAATCCCCCAAATTTCTCACCTTTCCTGTTCAGCAAGAAATACAGGAGTTGATTGCATCACCATCAGATTCCACAAAGGTTAGCAATGTATGACTAAGTACAACCTTAATCCAGCCGTACATTATATTCTCTTGCTGCTTACAGAGCTCAGTAGGAACTCATTTTTATTGCTCTCCTACATAACAGTAAAAGTTAAACGAATTCTAGAAAACAAGTTTTCTTATAAATCCTGTCAGCATATTCGCTTTTATTTCAGATACTTAAAATGGCCTTTTCATTAGTATCTAGTATCCTAAAAAAACAGTGCCGATTCATTGCTTGCTTTATTTTTTTAGGTGTTGTTAGACAGCAACAGTTGTCCTTATTCAGTTTGTAAAAAAAAAAAAAAAAGAAAAGCTTCTACATAGTTGCAAGTAAAGGATAATATATTCTTCTACAATAATTTTCAAAGTGTAATTAGCTTTGTATTTCTCTGTAGTAAATCTGAAAATATCAACCTTCTACCTTCTTTGATTCAACTGATACTTCAAAATCTGAAAAAAGTCATATGATCCTCTATAGGATCACAAAACTGGTACAAAACTACGAAATCAGAATTTCTACTCTGGAATTTTAGCCATAAATCTGTTATCTTCTCTACACTCAGCTGTGAGTAAACAGAAAAACCAAGTAGCTCTATTCAATGTAATTAACTGTAAGATAAGACAATAACCACCACCACCCCCAAACTGTTAATTGTTGGAATGATCTGTGGGGGGGGAAAAAAAATAAATTACAAGCTCTTTGTCCATATAACTCCTCTTCAGTAGCATTGGCATTGGATAGAAAGCATGGTAGCCCAACAGATAGTTCACATGCAAAGACTTACTGGTCTTGCTTTGGCAATTCAATATTCAAGACTTAATTTTAGGATAAACAAAAATATTCAATATTTATGCAACATAAAATTTCAAAATTAAACAGGAAATCCAAACAGCAGATGATTTCTCACACAGCATCACTTGTTAATATTAAAACTAATGCTAAGATGCAATATTATGGAGTATACAGTCAATATTATATATGAGGCAATTCCAGTGCTAAGCAAACAGATCTCAGCTGAATAAAACATCTAGCTAAAGTTAATAAATCACATAAATTCACCTAGTGCCTCTTAGGTCACATGGATACTGAAGGATCTGAAATGAAGTATCCACTCCACAACCTTAGAGAGCCAGCACCAGAGTGGCCCTGCCTATCTGGGCCTACAATCACACAGAATCACAGCTACATTCTATAGAATTTATCTTTCAGAACAAGCTTAAATGGGTATAAATTAGAAGGAAAAGAGCAGGCACTTTTAAAGTAGTAATTCAAGTCTTTTTGCTGGAGTTTAATAAACCAAAGAAAAATTTTATCAGTTCAGGTTTGGGAAAAGATTTACCAGGTAAATTAGCTTCCATCAAGTACTTCATGCATAACATGTCTGGATGAAGAAAGCAGCTGTCTGTTATATCTGGGAAACGAGGCAGGTCTAAAAAGGCTGCAAGCTCAAGCATTTTGTTGTACACTTCTTCGTATGCAGGCCATGACTGAAAGACAGGGTTAGATGGTGTTATACATTTGCTCTATTACCATATTTGTTAATGATTTTTAACCAGTTATTAATGTCAAATTCTGTATTATTTAGTATGAAATTATTTATACAGACTCTTTTAGCACTCTCTATGACTAAACACACATGCAAGAATAGAGCCAGACTGCAGTGTTGCAAAGAGAAATCTGCTATTTTTGAAGCCCATGAAATATTTAAGGAACAAATTAAAGGCTGTTTCAGGTCTGCAGCCAACCCACTACCTTTCTTGTGAAGTGATCAGTATATGTCTCCAGATGCTCCAAAACTCAAAGAGCATTGGGGGGAAAAAAAAAACAAATGCAATTGAGGGTGAATTCTATCTAAAGAGCTAAGGGATCACAGAACCACAGAAAGGTGAAGGTTGGCAAGGATGACTTGAGAGCATTGGGCCCAAACCCCTGCTTGGGCCACGTCGAGCAGGCTGCCCAGGACCATTCCAGTTGGATTTTAAAATAACTTCATAAACGGCAGCTCCACAAGGTCTGTGGGAACACTGCTCCAGTCTTTCACCACCCTCACTATACAGAAGAAAAAAGGTTTTGGTTTTTTCTTATGCTTAAATGGAATTTCTTGTATTTCAATTTGTGCCCATTTCCTCACATTCTGTCCCTGGATACCTCTAGGGAGGATCTGGTCTTCCTCCTTTGCACCCTCCTGCAGGTGCAAGGCCCTACCCCTCCTTTCCACCATACCTGCCCTGAGTCTTCTCCATCTGCAGGCTGACCAGTCCCAGCACTCTGAACCTCCCCTTATTTGACAGACTGCTCCACTCCATCATCTTCACAGCCCTTTACCGGACTCCACTGTGTCTATATCCTCTTTGTACTGGGGAGCCCAGAACTGGACCCAGCACTCCAGATGTGTCTCACCAGTGGTAAGCAGAGAGGAAGGATCATCTCCCCTGATCTGATCAGAGTGCTCTGGCTAATGCAGCCCAGAATGATGCTGGAGATCTTTGCCACAAGGGCACAATGCTGGCTCACATTCATCTTTACAGCATCTAGTCCACCAGAACTCCCAGGGCCTTTTCCAAAGAGCTGGTCAGCCCCCCAGCATGTGCTGGTGCCTGTAGTTATTCCGCAATGCATATTTATGTATTTATCATATTTATCAACAAGAATGTGATCAATATGAGGCTGACTGGCCTTTAGTTCCCCAGATCCTCCTTGCTGCCCTTCTTGAAGACAAAGGTGATGGTCACCTTCTTCCAGCCTTCAAGAAACTCCCCCAGTCACCATGACTTTTCAAAAACTATTGACAGTGGCCTTGCAATGACAGCACCCAGCTCCCTCAGCACTTGTGGCAACATCCCACCAGGCTCCATGAACTTTCATATGTCTGGTTTGTTTATATATTCCCTAACCTGCTCCTTCTCCACCAAAGGTAAGTCTGCCTTCCCTCAGACTTTCCCACTGGTTTCAAGGACCTGGGATTGCTGAAGGCTGCTCTTAACAGCAAAGACTGAGGCAAAACCAGCATTTGTTACCTCAGACTTCTCCTTGGTCTTTGTGACCGTGTCCCCATTCCTGTTCGGCAGCAGGACCACATTCTCAAGAACCATTCCACAAAATCTTCAATTTTATTTTTTTTTAATTATTAAAATGTCATTTAAAATAAATATTTAATTCCATACTTGCATATTTAGTCACAAAAATAAATCTGCCATTCTCTTTTCAAAATTATTGGCTGCACAAAGTTCTCCCAATTTCTACTGGTTTTCCTGCTAGAGGAGAACATAACTTGCGGACAGATTTTGACATACTTATTCATAATGAACTCAGCAGGAACTGAAGTTTGCCTAAGTATGAATTATTAAGAAATGTGGATCAAATCTTACAACTGAACCATTTCATTAAACATTCTTAGTTCTCTATATTTTAAATGATTACTTGAATTTACCTCTTAAAGCAATATTCTTCAGGCTACTTTACCATTTTAAGCATATAAAACCCAGTGGTTTTTTCTGCTATACTGTGTGGTTCTAATTCAGCAGAGCACTTTATCATGTATTCATATTTTATCAAGTCAACTTGTGCATAAGGTACTTTCCTTTAACAGGAATTTAGGATCACACTTTGCACACAGGTTCAAAACCTTCCTGAACAAAAGTGAATTTGGGCTTCTGGGGTTTTTACAGACCAGATCAAAAACAAAGCAACCATATCTATCACAACAATAAGACTGAAATAATGTCTTTTTATTCAATCATTTGGTTTAATCTGTTTTAATATAAGCTCTGTAGCCAAAGCTCAAATTGTATTGTTTTGAATGATTGCCAGCATTTCCTTTTCTTTTTCTATATCATCTCCCCTCAGAGTGCAGTTAGACTTGCTTAACTGTGTGAACATACTCTTAAGCAAATGAATAATTGTGCTGTAGCTTACTATTACACATGCAACTTTTTGTAACAGTTAGGAAGTTGTATCATGTTCATTATATTTTCTAAATAGTGTTAAAAATTGGCTTAGACTGCTCCAGGACTATCTTGAGAAACAAGAAAAACACGTATTACCAGGCTCCTACAGAAGATCAGGCTCACAGTACTTTCCATTCCTCTTAAGAAACAGTGCTAAATTGAATATCAAAACAATCTTGGAACAAAACCTGAATCATATGTAACTTCTCTTGAGAGTATTTGAAGAAAAAATGATTTCCCAGATAATTCAAATAAAACAATTATATCTAATTAGAAACAGTATTTATGTAAAGGAAATAAGTTTTTCCCTTTAATGAAAAGCAGTCGAATTAGTAGCTTCTTAATAATATATCAGAGATGAAAATAGACACTGTGAATTCACTCATTTGAAGCATTCTCATTGTCAAACATTAAACTATCACCCATGAAGTTATCTGAACAATCTAACTTAACACAGAGCTACTTGAAGAAATACAGCTTTCAGGTGGAGGACTCAAGGCAGACACCTACATCACCTTATACCTGAGCTTCTCTCACTGTATCAGGGTAAGGAGACAGGTAGCAGGGAATCATCCCTTCCTCTTCATGTCTGACACTGACTTCTGTTTCAAAGCTTTCGTTTGCCACTTAGAGAAGACAATTCAGATATTTTTCAAAATGGCTAGAAAGTGCTCTGCTTTGCAATGACAGCTGATGCTCTTTTCTGTAGAGCAAACACAAAGTAATACCAAGAGACATCATGTGGCTTATTTTAAGAAGAGTGTTAACAGACAAAAACTGTTCTTAGTTGATGTGTGTTTATAAGGAGATGTAGACACAATTGGGACATGCAGGTCTAGGAAGGGCATACTAATCCACCACAAAGATCAACCAAATCAATTGCTACCTCCCAGGGCTTAACCCCCTAAGCTCAGAAAGTTTCACAGTAGTGCTCCCGTTTCCAGAGCGGAGCGCTGAGTCACGAGGCCACAAGCGGAGCCCACGACGGCCCTTCCAGGAGCACACGGTAATCTCCTGAGCTGCAAACTGCAAGCGTAAGCTGGGACCAACACCAGATCACACCTCAGCTGGACACACCACAGCAAAGGGCTGATAGGCTGAGGACTTAGGAGACTGTAGACTGTATTCAGTAATCAAGCACTGATAATTTTCACAAGTCGCTACATTGCCAGTTCAGTCTCTGTTTAATTCTGAAAAAGGTGTGAGTTCATACAGCAGATGTTTTACTCTGCAAAGTTTCAAGCATGCTGGGAGGGTTAAAACGGAAAGAGCGCCCAAATTCCACACAATGAACATAGCATATGTTTGGACAATATTAAGAAAAAGCCTCAAAATTAGTAAAAGTTATCACCTTCTACCTAGCTCTGTATCTCTGCTAAAAGACAAGAAGCTGGTAAAACAAGTTGCACTGAAAGTTAACCAGCAAATCAACTAGGAAGGCAAGATCTGGAGCTGGGGCCTCCCTCCTTTAGGTGAAAAAACTCTGCCTCAAGCACCCCATGATTAAACCCCAAGGGAGCAGTACTTGGAGAAGAGAGGACAGTATTAGCTCACACACCACACACTCTCCAAGTATAACTTTCCAATCATAAATTGAAAAGAATTTGTATTACATACTGTCAAGTTGTATTTCTGTGTTAAATATTAGGACAACTACCCTGTCCATCATCATATGGACTTACTGAGCTCTCACCTTGTTTCAAGAACCTGGGAAACACTCCACATACAAAACTCAGTTACAAACCCTTGAGGGCACTTAATAATTTCAAGAAGACTGACAGAAAAATCTTTTAAAGTTATGCCACCTGCTAGCCTTTCAGGTGTTTTGCAAGTTGGGATTTCTTCAAGACCAATCAACAATGCTGACAGAGTCTATACCTTGTTTAGATTTGGTACAGAAGTTACCAAGAACTTCTCTCAAGAGTTTTATCTTTAAAATCTTTGTATCTTATTCCCCATGTTACCAATATGTTAGGTTCAGGTCTTCTCCAGAAAGCAGCACAGAAAATTGTACTATTTGAGAATACTCTGCTTCCCCGCCATGACCCCTGTCACAGACTTGAGGTGAGTACAGGAGAACAAAACACGCGCTGTTGAGTCGGTGAGGAAATGTCTAGAACAAGATTTTCATGATGATCATATTTAAAACAGTTGTCTTTATCTTTCAAAGTTACATGGAATTTTTCACCTGTATTAGAAAAGAACAAACTGGTTTTCAGAAGCAGATGAGCCAAACTATTAGCATGATAATCAGATCACAGTAACAGGTAATTGTTTTGGGTAAGCCAAGATTGCAGCCTCTCCTGCTTGTTTGGAGAATATCAGAATGTTGCTGATCAACTAGTAGAAAACACTATGCATTGGCTGACTTTCTAGATTAATTTGCAGGCTTCATAGCTTCTTGTTTTAAATGTGGTCTGACTGACTCTCTTCCTAGATGACTGTATAGGCTGTTTCCTTCTTCTATATTAGGACAATATCCCATCAGGCATTACTTACATATTCACAGTTCAGTCTATTTTATTGTGATAATTTTCTAT